TTTTCCGCCCTTAAAAATTCCACGACCTCCGCCGGTTTTGAACCCGCGTACCACGAGTCATGAGGTGGGAACGTTACCTCTAGACTACGGAGGCCGCTTGGTGTAGTGGTAACTATCTAGATTCGTACTGAGAAAGTCCTCGGTTAGAATGTCGGCTAGGACACTGACTACCCTGGGTGGGACTCTTACTATCCTGGCCGGGGTTCTTACTATCATGGCCGCGACCCTGAGTATCCTGACCGGGAAACTGAGTGTGCTGGCCGGGACCCTGATTATCCTGGCCGAGACTCTGAGTATCCTGGCCGGGACTCTTGAGTATCCTGGCCGGGACCCTGAGTATCCTGACCGGAACATTGATTGTCCTGGCCGGGACCCTGATTATCCTGGCCGGACGCTGTGGACAAGAGAAAAATATGCTGCCATGAATCGAACACGGGCCATCCAGCTCGTAGCGAGTTGCCATACCGACTGAGCTATCCCCAATGTATGTGATCTGTGTTCTTCTTGAATTTATAACATATATCTTTATTAATATTAAAAGCCGGGATAAAGCAGTCGGTATAGCGACCGGCTGCGTGCTGGACGGCGGTGGGCTCGGAGTTCAAGCCCCGGTACGATAAAAATTTTCTCTTATCTACGTCGTCTAGACGGGCTCTGGGGCCTGCCCAGCTTCATATGCAATGGGTACCTGGGGATAGCGCGGCAGGGGCGTGAAGCTGACCACTCACCTGTAGCTAGTGCCGAGGTTAGGAGAAACTGGATCTGCGTGTCCATTCCCACGTACGCCTTTATGGCGTAGTGCTTAATTAGTTAAGTACAGGGACAACTTTACCTTTTTACACGATACTCGGTTACATGTGCCATTCTTCTGCATGCGTGAATTCTGCAGTACATGATGCGCTTGTCTCATCGGACCCCATGCAACAAATTCTGGCGCGGAATTAGTAGAAGATGTAATGAAGACGAACAGTAAAACTAGATGAATAAAAAATTTCATGATTACATTTTGGGCAAATGTACTTTGTTTTGTGCTTCATGCGTTAACGTAACAGTACGCCTTATGCTTGCCAGACGCCATCTTGCAAGCAATCCACCGCCTTCCTCAGTGGTAAGTGGGAGAATATAATGAAGAACTTTGTAGTAGGAAGAATTAATAATTGCATGTGTCTCTGTGGTCTAGTGGTCAGAGTTCCTCGCTACAGATCCAGAGGTACCGGGTTCGATTCCCGGCGCTACCATACTTTCTGAGTAGTAGGTCTGGAAGGGGTCCACTCAGCCTCGTGAGGATAATTGAGGAGCAACATGAACGGAAAAGTAGCGGCTCCGGTCTAGATAACCGAAATTAATGGCCGTGGGGATTCGTTGCGCTGACAACACGACACCCTCTATCCGCCAAAGTTGTCACTAACTTCATCGACAAGCGGCGGTCGCTCGGTCGGTATAGTTCGTTTGCGAACTAAAGACACGGTGTTTGTGTTTTGTTTGTTTGTCTATGTATTTATTGAGCTTAATCTGAAGAACACACTATTGGGATAAGCAAGAGAAACTATCTGTTAGTACAGAGATGAAAAGGAATAAAAAAAGTATCACTACAACCAATTTCTTTTATGTCAGAAACTTAAATGCATGGTCTCCATCCAGCTGAAGCCGATCTTGGATACTTCCTTGCAAGGGTTCAGTCTCTCCAGCTGCCCTCAACACAGTCTGAAAGTCCTCTTGCTCTAATCCCTCTTGCTCCTAAACCCCACGTGACTTTTTAAAGTACGTACTCAACTGTGAACAGAATTCTTCACGTTTCATGTTTCGATCCGGATTAGCGAGGGTTTGCTGCGGTCAAATTGATACCGCTGGAGGCGCCCAGGTTTCATTCCAGTTCTGTTCTGCAATGATTGACGTCTGTTTTGAAGACGCCGCCCTAATGAATCAGACACTAATGAAGAGAATATTGAATTCATAGTCGAGAAGTCTGTGATGTATTGAAAGTGTAATGAATGTGCTTTGTGTGCGCCCGGGCATTGCGAATGTGGCTTGGAGCCGAAACAAACTGCGCATGACCTTCAAGTTCCTGCTACGTCATTTGGTATCACTGCCTACTACAATGGTAACTCTGTGTCTTTGGTCACGCCATAGCTCAAGCGGTTAGTCGCTGGCTTCCCACCGAGGCGGCCCGATTTCGATCCCGGGTCTGGTCAAGTGGGATTTGTGGTGAACAAAGTGGCGCTGGGGCAAGTTTTCTCCGAGTACTTCGGTTTCCCCTGCCAATCTTCATTCCACCAATTGCTCCACAATCACCCTCACCTATCATCTGGGGCTGGTACAATAGGCCAGAAGTGGCCGCAGTACAAGGGACTTAGTCCCACCCCACTAGCAATAAAAAAAACTCTGTGTCTAGCGTGGAAGAACCGATGCCTTACCTTGAAGATGGAGGAACAGGCTTCTCCCAAACGTTTATATTCGTGTACCGAGTCGGACTTGGCATTCCGGAAGACATGATATTTACATGAACCTCTGTTACAGCCTCGGATATGAAATGCAGTTTGGTTCGCACGACGAACACAGTGACTGAAGAGGCCTCGCTTATAAGAGCAGCTGTTATGTGGTCTCTTATTACCGTGGCCACTGCAGCAAGGGTCATTATACTTTGCAGATATCAAGGTTATCTCTTTGTTGCTACCCATGAAACGCAACGGAAAAAAGTAGAACAGTCCCTGTGTTTAATTAATTAAGCACGACTCCATGAAGACGTGTGGGGATATAGCTCCAACATTCTTGATCTCGGCAGTAGTGGGAGGTGAGTAGTCAGCTTCACGCCCCGACCTCTTTACTACCGGTGAAAGATCCCCAGAAACCGATTGGAAAGGAGGCTGGGTGGGGCTCGGGGTCGATCTGGACATTATGGAATAGAGAAAAAACCGCTTGCTCCTGTCGAAAATTGAACCCCGGCCTTCCAATCCATCGCCCTACCGACTGAGTTATCCCGTCCCTGCTTAGAGATTGGAATCACCAACGCTTTCAAAACATGCATACTCACGTAATCAGTAAATGTGTTTCGAATAATTTTAGTACATGTTGTTTTATTTTTACGTATATACGGGCTGCAGCAAAAAGAAAATATACATCTTTAAAAAATGACAAAACTAATGGGCCAACAACATCATAATCCTACCAGACAGATTTAAGTAAACCCCCAATACAAGAATTAAAATGATACCTAAGTGAAGAGAAAAAGTATAAGAGTTACGCCACTGGGCATAACAAAATCACGAGTCAGTACTTATCGATTATATATATTTATTGCAGATTCTGCAGATTACGTACAATAAATGTGTGGTAAAACTAAGGTTCTTAGTCTTCACTAGTCGTGTCCTAGCAACGGACTTATAACAGTCAAGGCCGCGCCATAGCTCAAGCGGTTAGTCACTGGCTTACCACCGCGACAGCCCGGGTTTGATCCAGGTCCTGGTCAAGTGAAATTTGTGGTGGACAAAGTGGCACTGGGTCGGGTTTTCTCCGAGTACTTCGGTTTCCCCTGCCAATCTTCACTCCACCAAATTCTCAATCATCATAATCACCCGGGACAGGCTACAATAGGCCAATCAGTGGCCGCCGTGCCGAGTGAACCCAGTAGGACTCCACCCCCCACTAAGCTAATTTACAAACAATTATAACAGTCTCACTGTAACTTCAGTTATCACATGAAGTATTCTTTTTCACAACCCAATTCCTTTCATGCAATTATCCTGCAGCTGGCAAATTCAAAGACTGAACTCACTTCAATTCCTCTGCTCCCAAGTTCATATCCCGGTAGGCTGCCGTCTCGAAACTTGACTCGACTCTATGTTGCTACCGGCAGCTTCCGAACTCAACTCAGTTCTCCTCAAGTGACCTCTTCTTTATAACAACTTTTCAGGGACCACAGAGAAAACACGCTCTCCTCATTGCTGGGAAGGCGTATGTACAGCACCGTTTCATAGCAACGGAAGTTATTCGTATTCGTTGCCGCGGGAATGTGTTTACCGAGTCCTTGCCTAGCAATAAATGTCTATTGTGACTTAGCTATCCCGGCTTTTCACAGTATTAATACACTTCAACGCCTGAGAAAATAAATATGTAGTGAATCGCAAGAATTTGATTTTACGAAATGTTACACAGGAAGAATAGCATCTTAGAATGTAGAATGGATTAATCTGGCTCATGACATTGACAAACCGTATAGCTCCTAAGGACGGACTCTGCCCCATGAAGTTAGCAGAAGGGAAGTATACACAAATTTAAATTAAATTTATATTTCTTTAAATTCATCGTGTGTAAGGAATATAATTAAATATCTTCATCGCTGAAATCCATGCAGAAATGCGTTTGAATGTTTAAATATCGCATTCCTCATGGTTGCGGCGCCTCACTTCAAGAAGAATACATAGACATGCGTGCCGTTTACACTACTGAAAGATATTCTAGAAGACACTTTCAATGATTCATGGGCAGGCAGTTTTACAGACTCGCAGGGCCAGGCGTGTTGTGGTTTAGAAGGCTGTGATAAGAAAGTTTAGTTGTGAAAGTGATATTGCTTGCGCGTATTCAGTGTCAAGTAGTGGAGTGTTATATTTTTGTGTCTTAGATATAAATTTCCCAGATAAAACGTGGGATTTAGAAAGGTAAGGGAACATGAGAAACAAAAAGCGCCACAAAGACAGTGTTGAGGTTAGGAGTTCCACTGATTGCAGTACAAACATACATATTTTACCAATTGCTTTTAAAATAAGGAATGTGTCTAGGAGTGTCAAATGAAGCATATAATTTTGGATAATTCTTTCAATACCTGTGGTTTAGTTTGTTATATGAGAGAATTCAGTCGTTCTTATGATTTGAAGCTTGTTAATTTTATCCTGACTGTGTTAGTGAATATAGATGGAAGGAATCTGCTTATATGATCACGCTTCTAATTCTTTTTCAAGGGAGCAGCTCATTCAAATTTGGTGATATTAGCTCCCATATTGCAGGTTTCAGTCGGTACACGCTCTTGTCCAGGAAGTGGAGGCCCACTACCCTGGCGAGCAAATTGACTGGACACTGGTGCATGATGCTGGCTGTACTTGTGATGATACAGACTTGCCTGATCACGTGACAACAAGAGACGACATACAGCAGCTTATCACCACCTCGTTCGCCGGTCTTCTGAGCTCCCTGCCCGGACCTCCGACCATCATCACCATCTCAAGGTAGGGATCTGCATTCTGTAAATACAACACGCGCGAACGTATGGGGAAATCAACATGTGTTCAGTTGTCACGCAGTTTCATGTAGGATTAAATGCGGTGTGTTACATAATGATAAAGATTTCTGTGGATAACTAGAAACTTTGTGAAGAATGACATTACGAAACGCGCTTTACTTTGTAGAAACCCTGTACCGGGCCGGCTTCTTCCGATGATGTCTTCGGAATAGGCTGTTTTCGACTAAATCAGGTATTCTGACCCAAAAAGTGAGATTCAGAAATGTTATGATCTTTTATTTTCAACAGCAAAACATATGGATATATATGACTTGTTACGCGGTTTGAATTAGTGGCGTTGTTTCAGCGAGAATGACTTCTATTGACGTAATTTATTCACATTCTGTTTGACAGGACACAATAGCGAAAAAAACGCGTCGTTTTGGCTCATAAGTCGATACACAAAACTGTGAGGTGATAGCAACTTCTTGCTTCCATTACATCAGAAATAATTTTAAAACTTACTTCTCTCATATGTATCCAAAATCTGGTTCGCCAGCGTTATCAGGCTCACTCAGTGAGGTGCGATAAGGTAAGACACATCTCCTCTCTGGTTTGGCTCTATTAGCAGAAAACGCAAAATGTTTTAGCCTTCTACTTCAAGCAGTAAGATGCCAGGTTACATTATATTCCATGAATCCAAAGTCAGTCAAAATTACTGTAGGATGTGGAATATATCTGTAATTACAAGAAACATGTGTACAGCCCACCTGAAGTTTCCACACAAGAAAACACAAAAAAATACATCCATATATATATATATATTCTGTTCAACTTGTACAGCGAATGCCTTACCAAAGAAGCTCTAGACGGGCTTGGAGACTTCAAATTAGGAGGGCAAATTATTCAAACTGTGAAATATGCAGATGACCTTGTGTTAATGGCTAAGGAAGAAACT